AAGTCCTGAGCAGTGATACCGTAGGGATCATTCGGCGGAGGCCTGAACGTAATGGGGAAGTAGTTGTAGACAGAGTCGAACAGAGCCTTCACATGTCAGTTATCAAAAGACCACACCCACACCACATGCAATACATACTTCAGCATGGTTGGACACATCCCACTCCACCATCACCACCTTGAGGATCGAGAACACCAGCATCAGGTTGCGCGGGTCCTTCTCACCCGTCATCAGATTCACTATGCCAACCAGGGACTCGTCACCCATATCATGGAGGGCTGCACCATCAGTCAATTCCCGCAAATCAAGACCGAAGGAAGTATGGATGATGGAAACGCACCGGCACGATGATTGATCATCAATTCGTTCAGCAATTGGTAAACCTGGAACCTCTGAGACTGCGAGCGAGACTGTAGCTCCTCGAAGCGCTCGAAGACACTGCACAAGTCAGCTACACATCCCGTCCGCGATCGACGCATGACCTTATCAATATCAGATGCACTCACGCCCGCGCAACCTCCTCAGCCAACGCCTTATTGAACCGATCCAGCTTCTGCAAGGTCTCCAACCCAGCGACGGCACCGCCATCCTCAATCCGTTCGCAGAAGAAAGTCGTCAGAACCTGAATCTGCTGTCTCGACAGGAACTTCGGGGGAAGCGCCCTGATCACGGCCGTGAGGTAGGAAACGGCCTTGCCGCGCAGAATCGGGTCCTCGTCATTGATGTACTCTCCTAACGACTGCACGACTTCAATGAGCGTGGTTTTCTTGGTCTCCACATCTTTTTATCCCCAGCAATAGTAGTTAGTCCCAGTCCATCATCTGTGAATCTGCTGCAGCGGCGGCGGCGGCGGCGGCGGCGGCGGCGGGGTGCATGGGAACATCAAACATAACGTACCTTGAGCAATTCGTTCCGCGATCTGCTTGGCCTCCTGCTTATCATGGTCCACGACCAGCAGGAACGTCTGCAACGCCGACATCTTGTGACAAGTGAGACGTCGGGAATCGCAGATGAGGGGCAAATGGAGGGGGAGGGGAAGGGGGAGGAAAGAAAGCAACTAGTCAAGTGCCTCAGTCTATCTTCTCCGCGACCGGAACATGACGCCGTTTGTGGCCCGCCCATTGATTGCCCTTATCGATAGGCATCACGTGCTGCTACATTGACCATCTTACTCTCCAGCTATTACAAAAGTCCCTCCCTAACTAACTAGTTACACTAGTTAACTAGCTGTTGGCCGTTGCGTCATCCCCCAGTCCGGCTGACAGGCCGATCACCTCCACCACAATACCATACCATCTAATTATCACATAACTTAATCTATATAAAAAAGATCCCAATATCAAAATGACCAAGAAACCCCTCTTCCTCATAGCATCCTCCCTAACCCTAATCATAATCACCCTCACCACTCTATCCACAGCCAACAACAGCTTCCCACTCCGAAAACGTCTCCCCCGTCCCTTCGTCTCCGCACCACACCTCCGTCACGACCTCCACCTCCAAGACACCACCAACAACAACAATCCCTACCTCTCCGAAATCAAAGAGTGGCTATCCCAACAGCTACCCACCAACAACAACAAAATGGGCAGCAAATCCTCCTCACACGAAAACCCCATAATCTCCGACGTCCTGCCCAAGAACCGTCTCATCAACGTCTACGCCTCGCTCACCCGGCAATTCGACAGTGTAGAATCCCGCTTCAATGATCCCTCAAGCAACGTGACGGTTCTGGCACCGCGGAACAGCGCGATCCAGAACCTGCCGCGCAAGCCGTGGGAGAATCCTGAGGATTATGAGCGGTTTGGGCAGGCTGGGGCGTATGAGGGTGATGAGGGGCAGGATCGGGCTAGGAAGAATTTGGAGAGGTTTGTGAAGGCGCATGTTGTTGTGGGGAGTCCTTGGGGAGAGGGTGATGAGGGGGTTACCCTTGCTGGGGAGAAGGTAACGTGGAATAAAGGGGAGGGGGGGAAGATTTATGTATGCTCTTTTTCTTCTTTTCTTTTTCGTTGCTTCTGTGATGGGATGCTGACTGTTGTGGTAGATTCAACCGGGGAATGTGGAGGTGGATAGTGTTGCTGAGAAGGTGTCGAATGGGGAATTGTGGATTTTGAATGGGGTCGTTAATTATACTTAGGTTTCTGATGGCGGACTGTCATGATGGTTATATATTTCGTTATTGTTTGTGATGATATTGATGATGATTTCATGATTGATGGATGCCCGGATACGGTCTCGTGGCAAAGGCTACTATTAATGAGGACACTCGCGTCTTAGTACTTACTACTCACGTTCTGCACTTATATTACTAGTATGTCATATTGATACATCTGCACTTCATCTAATATATTCAACAAGTAGAGTCCAAACACACCCATAAGCCAGACCAATCGTAACCTAATAGCTTTTCCTGCCCGCGTAATGAGCCAGAACTCTCTCCTCAACGCCATCCAGAATGCAAAAGTGCTCAATGACCTCCAAGTTCTCCGCCTCACTCTGGTACAACTTATCGGGATCCTGGCCGGGCTGGAACGGGTTAATCCCAGCAGCAGGGTTCATCGACGCCATCTGCGAAGCCATGTGGTTGGCCGCTAAAGCAAAATCTGTCAGCAACACTCACTCAAACCTGATGGATAAGAAAGCACATCGAACTAACCATTATCACTACCCAAGATAAACCCAAAGACCGACTGCAGTCCAAACAAGTTCAAGAAATACCACGAAAGACTGGACACCCATCTGACATCCAAATCCCGGGTCATAACACCAGACTGCAGCATAGACTTGAACCGAATGGTAAGCGGGAACGGCAATTTCACTAGTAGCACTCATGTCAGCTCATCCCCCTCCCTCATAGTGTATCAGATAAGCCCTACAGATCACGAATCCCGAAAAGAACGCATTAATCCAGCTCATAATCAGCGTCTGCGGGATCATCATCATCATATTCCCCTTCATCATGCCCATCATGGCCTCCATGCCAGCAGGATCGGTCATCGGGTTCGCAGGCGGCTGGCCGCGACTAGCGGGGTCCTTGAGGAAAGCACCGCTCTGGTAGGCAGAGACGAGGTAGTTCTTGCGCATCTCGAAGGATTCCTTGGAGAGAACGGAGGAATTATTCCGTAGGTTGACGCCGCGAATGAGTCCGAGGCGTTCGCGGGATTCGGCCAGCGTCGAGGCCGGCTTCGGGGGGTTGTTCATCAAGACGGTGGCATAGTGACGGAGGATACCTGTCAGAATCTAATGGATGATAACATTAGCATATATCCTAGTCACCCATGGTGTAGATGAGGTGCACATACCATAACAACAGTGATAGGGAACACAATCCAGTAGCTAGAGGTGCGAGTCGATCACATCAGTATTACGCATCAAACCGCGCCCAGTGCCTAGCAATAAACTCACAATAGAGCCGGATCCCGAAGGATCGTCTGCTCAACGCCTTGCAGAGCCATCGTGAGCAGAATTGAATAAGATTAGGTGCGGTCTAATCCCTTGGGTTGCGGTTCGGAGGCAGAGAAAGACACACGGAGCTCCCCACGGAAGTTGGATGGGGCGGCGCGGCGGGCTGGCTGACTTGACTGACTTGCCTTGGCGCATGCCATTGCCGCCGCTTTAGCTTGCGAAAGGGACAGCTCGCCGCAACTCTTCCCCGGCTTAGATCAGAGCTCCACGAAGTATTCTTCCACCTTTTCCTGAATTATTTTACATTGAAGAGCTGGGGGTATTAGTACTCTATCTTGTCTCATTTGGCTTCGAAGATAAATTCCCAGATGGCGTCCTCAGAAGTCCAAAAAGTGCCCGTTTACTCGGTCAATGGTTAGTTCGCGATAAACATCACTATTACTACATACATTCATATTATCACTACGACGCAATACCTACTACCCTCGCATTTTCATGTACTGCATTCATGGAGATAGCTAACAATCTTATCGAACAGACATAAAATCAACAACCGATGACGCCCTAGCTCCCTACCTCGGCTCCCTCCCTCAACCCTACACCTTCGCCCAAGACCACACCAAGACCAATGTCCACCTATTCCTGGGCTACGCTGCCGTCGCGATTGCCGGGTTCAGCTTCTACGCTGAACGCAAGCTTAACTGGGAGGCGACACATTCACCATGGATTATCGCAGCCGTGCTGTCTTACTTTACCTTGAACTCGCTTCTCACGTACTGGGTTTGGGCTGTTGAGGCAGGTGAGGTATTCCGTGGGAAGCGGAAGTCGGGTGAAACGGTACGTTCCAATATTACTGAAAAGTGGGTTAGTTCGGCTGTGAGCTAATACGATATGTTAGATCATCATTCGATCCTCCGTGCAGAAGCACTCTCCGTTGTACAAGCTGCGGGTCCAGTACAAGTCGGCGCAGGGCAAGACGCTGCAGGAGAAGGAGATCGAGACCTCGTTCACTAAGTGGTTTGCTGCGGATGGGACATTCCACCCCGAGCCTTTGAGGGCCTGGCTGGCTGGTGAGATTGAGGTTCTGGGGTTGGCGGCCAAGGAGACGGAGAAGAAGACCGGGGGTGTTGCGAGTTTAGTAGGTGTTGAGGAGGAGAGCAAGGACGTTAAGAGGAGGAAGTGAAATGTATATGGGGTGCTGGTTGTGGATAATCTAGTGGGTTGGAAAGGAAATTGGAGTTTATTGACCTTGATTGCATTGGTCTTCTTTTCTTCCCAGAAATGAAAGTGTGTCTTGTTGTTTAGGGATTCGGTCGTAATATGGTCGTAGGGAATAATATATTGACAGGATACATGTATGTTCATTTCATTTCCCACACGTGGAAGGGTTCAAGAGACGAGAACCAGGGAATAATTGACCAAATTGAGGCATAGGTTTTGTCTTTTTTATACAAGAATGCTTGGGTCGCATGATATATGGCTTGAGTGGAAAGATACAATAGAAGAAGTGGAAGTAAAAAGGAATCTATGACTGGCTCTTCTTAATTCGTCTCCCGTGGCACGTTTTAGAGAATATTGGGCGTAGTGTAGGATGGTTAGTTAGCGGCTTCCAGGGTTCCCGGACGCTCGGTAGCTTCAGCGGGCTTCACGTCATCCATACGGCTGTTCTGGATGAGTCTCTGCAGCACATAGTTAGTGGATGAAGTTGCTTCGGCGAAGATATAAAGTAATTGCTTACCAGCAAGTTGCGCATCAGGACGACAATGGTGACCTTTCCAATGGAAGGAACGAAGATGGAGGCCTTCTCCTTGACCTCAGGTCCAAAGTTCTGTTCACACCATATGTTAGCCTCTGAAATAAAGTATTATTGTTGTAAATGGCTGTGGGACGTACCTTCTCGCTGGAGAAGTTGACACACACAGCACCCTCTCTCAGAAGGCTGGTATCGAACTTGTACTTCTCTCCAGGAACACCGGAAATGACAACATCACACAGAGGTGCCACATCCTTCAGGGTCTTACCCTCCAGGTCGACAACCTCGTGTCTGCCCTTCTTCAGACCCTCACCACGGGTGAACTTCTGAACGCCGGTGATATCGACACTGTAGACGCAGGCACCGTCGTTGGCCAACAGAGCAGCGAGAGGGCGACCAACCACCTCAGAGCGGTTCACAACACAGATAGTGTGTCCGAAGAGGCGGTTACCGTACGGCAATATCGTGTTGTAGATGTTGAGGTATTCGAGGATCTTAATGACAGCGAGGGGGGTGCAGGGGAGGATGCACTTCTGTCTCTTGGTCTCGGGGTCAAGGAAACGAATGTTCTGGTACATGTTGAAAATGTAACGGTGGCTCAGACCCTCTACATCCTTATTTATGTCGACGATCTGCTGCAGGTACTGGTCCTGGCGGTTGTTGAAGATGGGGTAGTATACGATGATGCCGTTGACATCGGAGTCGGCGTTGGCAGCGAGGATGGCTTGCTCGAGATCATCGCGGGCAACTTCACGGAGGGAGTAGCGGAAGCCACTGTGCAATGGGTAAAAAAGACTACGTTAGCTACGAAGTGACATCCCACAATACTGCCTGCGTGCCAGGAGAGCTCCGACATCGCAGGGTTGAGTCATATGCTGCGCGCCGAGGGGCCACCAGACGCAGTGACCACAGGGGCACGACGGACGCAACTGGGAGTGAAAATTTGGGAGAATGCTCACTTTTCCTGACACGTCTTCTCCGTCATCTGGGCATACATCAACGCCGCGGGGTCGTTGTTGGCAAGGAATCCCACCAAGTGAGGCGGCTTCTCCAGGGTATGGACGCCCTCCTGGACCTCCGCAAGCAGGCGATTGGCAACATGCTTGGAGAGCATGACCTTGCAAGAGGCCGGGACCGAGTCAGAAGTGGTAGCCATCTTTGCGAATGGGAGGGAAGAATGATTCGAAGCAATTGGGATGGGAGGGAATACACTCTCTACTTCAAGGTGGGCTATGGCGGAGGGGCATTAAAAGAAATTTTGGGACGGAAAAGGCTGCTCGCTTATCGATAAACGCAATGCCCGCATTCGGCCCATCCCATCGGCTCCAGACGGCGAGCAGCACAGCTTCGTCCAGTATCCATTCATTCCCCGCAAATTTACTGGGACGATTGTCCCTTGGTTCCCCAGATGGTATGGTTCTGACATCAGATTGCTGGCTATATGACATTTACATGAATGGACCCCCGTAGTGCTTGCAGTTTTCAACCCCAGATCATCTACCCTAGTAATTTTATGTCTACCACTTCGACCGGGGCAGAAGGCGCCACCCGGCAATGAGACCCAATGGCTTCTATATATATCCCACTACTTGACCCTCATTTGATGCCATGGGTTCGTGCTGGGTCGAGTTACCCCAGACTGGCCGCTATGACCGCCAGAGACCCAAGCTGGAGCGTTTTAGTAGTTCAACTAGACTATCAGACCAACTACTAGAGACTACTTCATACGCAGCCGTCAGAGTACCAAGTTTAATCGAACAAAGGAAATCATATTCAGGCTGCATATATGTAGACAAAGGTTTCATAAGCCGAGACCAGCTGGAAGGTATTACACGCCAAACCAGTTAATCCGTCCAATTCCGTTCCCTCTGTCGCGCGAAATGATCTAAACGTACAGGATATTAATCGTATCTTTTTTGCCTTTCTCCGCACCACCGCTTTACCCTGCTCTCCGTCGTCCCAGAAGCTACATAGATCTGGCAGTAAAATATCATCGCATAGTTGCAAACTACACCTCATCCAATACTCTCGACCCGACCCGAAGCTCTGGTTTAACAGAAAAAAAATAAAACAGTGGGTTTCAAATTGTACAAGCTATCTTGTCTATACACATAGAGTCAGGATTGATTCGGTACATGGCGGGCTATTCGCCCAAGAGCATTGTGTTGCTCACCTATGCGTTGAAGGACTTGTTGAAGGTGGGGATGATCTCCTTGAGCTGAGCCTCGAGCTCCTTGCTGACCTGGCCCTCCTTCTCGATGGTCTCCTGGATCTCGGGGTGGTTGCTCTTGAGGTGAGCAAGGAAGTCAGACTCCCACTGGAGGATCTTGGCGACGGGGATGGTGTCGAGGAAACCGTTGACACCAGCGAAGATCAGGGGAACCATGTCGGAGACGGCCATGGGGGAGTACTGCTTCTGCTTGAGGAGCTCGGTAAGACGCTCACCACGGCTAAGGGTCTGCTTGGTGGAGGCATCGAGATCGGAACCGAACTGGGCGAAGGCAGCAACCTCACGGTACTGAGCCAAGAACAGCTTCAGGGAACCGGCGACCTGCTTCATGGCCTTGACCTGGGCAGCGGAACCGACACGGGAGACGGACAGACCGACGTTAATGGCGGGACGGATACCCTTGTAGAACAGCTCAGACTCCAAGAAGATCTGACCGTCAGTGATGGAGATGACGTTGGTGGGAATGTAAGCGGAGACATCACCACCCTGGGTCTCAATGACGGGGAGGGCAGTGAGGGAACCACCACCGTGCTTCTCGTTCATCTTGGCGGCACGCTCAAGGAGACGAGAGTGGAGGTAGAAAACGTCACCGGGGTAGGCCTCACGACCAGGGGGACGACGGAGCAGCAGGGACATCTGACGGTAGGCGACGGCCTGCTTGGAAAGGTCATCGTAGATGATGACGGCGTGGCGGCCGTTGTCACGGAACCACTCACCCATGGCACAACCAGTGAAGGGAGCAAGGTACTGCAGAGGAGCAGCCTCGGAAGCAGTAGCAGCAACGACAATGGAGTACTTCATGGCGTCGTTCTCCTCGAGGGTCTTGACGAGCTGAGCGACGGTGGAACGCTTCTGACCGACGGCAACGTAGATGCAGTAAAGCTTCTTGCTCTCGTCGGAGGTGTTGTTCCAGCGCTTCTGGTTCAGCATGGCATCAAGGGCGACAGCGGTCTTACCGGTCTGACGGTCACCAATGATCAACTCACGCTGACCACGGCCGATGGGGACCATGGAGTCGACACACTTCAGACCAGTCTGGACGGGCTGGTTGACGGAGCGACGGGGCAGGATACCAGGGGCCTTGAGCTGAGCACGGCTCTTGACCTTGGTGGGGATGGGGCCCTTGCCATCGATGGGGTTACCGAGAGCGTCGACGACACGGCCGAGCATCTCAGGACCAACGGGGACATCGACCTAGACAATTTTGTAAGTAAAATTGCTGATATCTTGGCGTAAAAAAAAAAAAGAAGAGATACATACAATCTCTCCGGTACGCTTGACAGTCTCACCCTCCTTGACGAGACGGTCGGAACCGAAAAGCACGACACCGACCTGGCCGGCTTCGAGGTTCATGCACATACCCTTGACGCCAGAGGCGAACCTAATGATTTGTTAATTGGATTGATACATTAACAAGGCATATATAAAAAACGGGGGCACCTACTCGACCAGCTCCTCAGCCTGGACGTTGGTCATGCCATGGACACGAGCGATACCGTCACTATTTTTGATATTAGTTTCAATTGATTTCGATGGAGAGCGTCAAATAATGGCCGGATTTTCGAATATTTCGATGATATCGATGGAATTGAAGCGGCGGCCAAAATTTTCAACCGAGGGAGAATTCGTCACGTACCCGACGGAAAGGACACGTCCAGTCTCGGCAAGGCCAGCCTCCTCCTGAACACCACGGATTCTCTGCTCAAGGATGGAAGAGACCTCAGTGGGAGAGGCCTTGGCCTCAGCAGCGTAGGAACGGATCTGCTTGGAGGCGCCAGAGAGGGGGCCGGGAACAGCCGCGCGAGCCTGTAGTCGTACGCAAAATTTGTCAACATCACGACCACGCAGTCAAAACGCGTAAAAGCGAAGCAGGAAGCATTGCGATGTGTAGAGAGGCGATGGCAAGCATCATTGAGATGACTTCTTGGATGGAATCGGCCAGATGGCGAAGGTATGGTCGACCTGGACAGGGATAGGACTCACCGAAGCGATCCTGCCAGTGGCAGAGGCAGCCGCGACGGTGCGGCTAGACTGCCGCAAAGCGTTTCTGAACATTGTGATGGGGGTTCAGAGGAGTGGGAGAGTGGTTTCTCTGAAGGAGAGATGTAATTGGGGGGAGGGAGGAAGAGGAGAAAGGATTGTGGATGGATGGAAGGAGAGCTTTGTCGTCGGGGTTGGGAGGATTCTCAGGACTGCCACTAATCCTAGTTTGCCGAGACCTCACCAACCTCCGAAGCCGCCCTAGTGCGCTCACGGGACACCCACCCACCCCAAAGAAACTCGTTGCCGGGTGATGTATTCCATCACCTTTTTTGTCTACTATTTTTTCCCACCGATCTACTACTACATTATTTTTAGTCCATAAATTTATTATTATTAGTTCCCCTACACTTTGAACCCTTTTCATGAAAAAATTATTATGGTAGAGAATTGTTAACGTTGTTGCTCTAAAATTGACGGGGGTTTGAGGGAAAGCGGTAACCGCTTGTTTCTCCGGGCCACCTGGCCATCCCATTTTTCATTTGTTCCTTTTCTCGGATCTGCGGATACTGCTGGTTGGCTGGCTTACTCAAGTTCATTTTCGTCGCAGCAACCGCCCGCAGGGCCCTGCCAACAACAACCCGCCCCGTTCTGCTCGACACCGCACTCACTCACCTCACTGCTTTGACCGGTTGTCCCGGTGGGAAACACCGGCTCGACATGGGCCCTTCCCATGGCTGCGAACCAACTGGTTCGTTCGTATGTTACCGCTACCCAGCATATACCTCCTCTTTTCTCCTCCTTCTGCCCGTCAAAGTCCAAGACTTGTCCCAAACTTTCCCTTCTTAATTATATGTAATTTGTCTCTCGTTCTCCTCTTCTTCTGTGCATGTTGTATGACAGAATAAAAACCCCCCTCTTATATTCACATACCAACCATACCCGACCTTTTTCCTATTTCCCCTTCCCCATTTTCCCTCCTTACAGTGCTCACTGCCCAGGTTCCTACTCCGTACCTCCGGGGCTTACATCATGATCCACTTTGGATGCTTGAATGTCAAGCCTGCATCAACATTGGTTTATTCACTTCCCTTGGGATATTTCGCTCTTCATCAATGATTAAATTCAAATACCGACGTAGTATGATAATATTACTGTAGCGTTGACAGACATTGCACTCTGCAAACATCAATCTCAAAAACTCCAAGAGGTACCAAAAACTAATGCTAAGGAAGAGCAATGCTCTCAATTCGAATCATTGACATGGCAACATAACTCGCAGCAAAATCACCGCTACTAGCCATGCAACTCCCATGTAAAAATAGAGATCGGGTCATCCTACCATATAGCTTTACAGCAGCACTTATTTGGCAGTCTTGCCCTTCTGCGCCTTGAAAGCTGCAATCTGCTTTTCCACATTCTGATCGTATCTGGCCTTCAGCTCCGGACGGTAGCCGAAGAAAAAGAGCACTTCCATCCAGACGAAGAGGGGTGCCAGAAGAAGTGCCTGGACGAGGTTGTCCAGCAAGGCCGGAGCTCTGCGCTCAAAGGCACCATGGCCGACAAACTGAGCCAGCCAGGACACTACATGGATTCCAGCAAACCAGTAGTTGACGCTGTTGCCATACGTAGCCAGTAGATGGTTCGCCCAGGCCGCACCGGCAAGTATAAGGGGAGCGACCAGTGCCCCTGCAACAGGTTCGAGGAGGATGTAAAACGTGGAGTATATGATGGCTGCGATCGTTCCGAGATTAGGAGGAAGGTTTTGGATCTGCAGCGCATCGGGCAGGTTCACGAAAGCCGGTGTGTTCGACGCCTAGTAGATTCATAAAACGTTAGCGGTCCATCGCTATGAAGGGTTGAGGGAATAGCATTTCGTACCAGAGCAATTCCTGTGAACAAAAGTATCGGCACGCATGTGATGTGTATCGCAACATTGACCTGGGCGGGACCATTAGAGCAAGCCACAAATGGGGCAAATAGCATGGCATACTGGGTTATTGTGATAGGCTCCATACTGCGAGGCTCGTTAGCATGGAAATCTTGCGCCAAACACAGTGATAGGTGTTGCGGTAGAGGCTTACAAATAGAAGCTGCTTTTCGAGATTCAAGGCCATCTTGAAATGCTATTACTGCTATGGCTCGAAAGTCCAACGTAGATGGGCGCAACAAAAGAATAACGGTGAGCGTGAGACCAGCTCCTTTTTTGTTTTTTGTTTCTTGTCTGGGGATATTGCCTGATCTGACCCGATCAGCAGGTGGAGAGATAGGACATTCTATGATTTGTTCCTGGCTTTATGCTTGTGCAGACGTCATCCCGGCCTAGGTAAACTCGTTGCACAAAGGCAGGACCGAGGATATCGTGATTAATTACACGCTGCGTCTCGTCATGACCGGCAGTGCGCGGAGCTACACCCTATCGGCTCTGTAACGGCGTATGGCTGTGTAATTAATGACCGTCGTGGGGGTGCTCTCCAGATAGTCACGTGAGAGCATCCAGCTCGAGCTGATCAGACGGAAATCCGTGACCGCTATGAGTTTGGTGTCGAATTAACGGGTGACTGCCCCTTCTTCTCGTCCGATCTTGTTTGAAGGCAGGGTTTATCTGCTGCAATTGCTCTGTTCTGCGCTCTTTATCCTGAACGCGCGCTCCCTTCTTCTGTTGACTTGCTGAATCAGTTTTCTGGTCTTCCCAGTCGTTGATATCTTGTCAAGAAGTATTGGCGGCAAGTGCTCGTCCATTTGTCGCAAACCTAGTTCATTCGCTTCACTCATTCATAGCGATTCAACTTACTCTGGACTCACGACACGGGCCACTCGAGATATTCGAACTGCGCCATCCAATCCCCGGGAAACAGTAAGATACTGGCTGAATCTTGATCTATCGCGTAAACCGAACCCCCCCACCGCACCGGCTGTTGAACCAAAATCGTGTATCATACTCTCGACCACCACAAGTCTACAACATGTTCTTCCTTAAAGAAGAGGTCAAGGTTATCACCTTGCACCCGTCCTACTTCGGGCCCAACATGCGCGAGTATCTCATCAACCGGTTAAACGAGGAGGAAGAGGGACGTTGTACGGGCGACCATTTCGTGATCTGTGTGATGGACATGGTTGATATTGGCGAAGGACGGGTGCTCCCAGGCAGCGGACAGGCAGAATATACGATCAAGTATCGTGCAATTATCTGGAAGCCCTTCCGCGGAGAGACCGTACGTTTTGGGAGTCGCACTGAAACCGGGCTGCATTTGATTCTGACCAGAACCCTGTAGGTCGATGCGATTGTTACGTCTGTCAAGCCCACGGGTATCTTTACTTTGGCCGGTCCATTGTCTGTTTTCATTGCACGGAAAGTATGTCGACGACCGAGTTTGAGTTGGATCACCTAGTGTTGTCGGATGCTAACGAGTTGGCAAGAACATTCCTTCCGATATCAAATGGGAACCGAACACAGTACCGCCGCAATACACAGACCATGCGGATCAAGTCATCGAGAAGGGGACCAGTTTACGGCTTAAGATTCTCGGTGTGAAGCCCGACGTTGCGGCGATCAATGCCATTGGAACAATCAAGGAAGATTACCTCGGGTGAGTTTCCCAACCTCTCAGGGGATTAGTTTTTTTCGATGCAGGATGTACTGACATTTTACTTTCCTTTTCCTACCCAGACCATTGTAATGCCTTTTGTGATGTGCCGTTAACCTCCACCATTTACCCTAATGATTGATATCGCGTGACTATTGAAAGGATCGTTGATACCCTTTCCTTACTCTACAATTTCTCACACAAGAACAACCATGTTGAAAGAATTCTGCCTTGCAAGGAGGTGCGCCCATGGGTAGAATGATGAGAGCGCGCCCAAGGCCGGAGTCTTGGGCTTGGATATCATCCACCGGCATGATATCGTGCCTTTTTTTTCTTTGCAGAAACCCGCGCAGGCGAACGGGACTGACTGATTGCTGCGAAACCAGGCACTAAATGCACCTGAGAAGAAAAACGACGGGGGAGGGCATAGGTTCTCCCAGGCCAGTGAGGAGGATAGCTATATGTGTGTATATCTAAGGCGGACACTTCCGAATTTGGCTTGCCGGACTGAAGGTCTAAAATAAAATAAAGAAAGACGAACTAATTTATAGATGAAAGACCACGACCAGTTCTGGGACCTGAGTCTAATAGTATCTAGACTCCCGTTACTCCCTACTATTTACATAGCCAAGCAAGTATACATAGTGTAGTGCAGTGCAGTGAGCCGAATTATGCAGACAGGCAGCACGAATAAAGAACCCAGCCGAGCCCAAGCGCAGTTGCCGGAGAGACGCGGGGAGTTACTTTAGTTACTTAGTTACTTAGTTACTTAGTACTTCCTAGTTAGTTGGTGGCCCATCACGATTAGTGAAACGCTGGTGTGTCCATCGTCGGAGCCGTGCGCGTGGCTCATTTGACTTTCCCCAGTCCTTAGCGTCGTGGGAGATTTCTCGCGAGATTGTGATGGACCCGAATAGATTCAGGTAAGCCAGAGTCTGAAGACACATGTTTTATTTTATTTGATCATCGTCACTCTCAGTTAGCAGTCTACTGTGCCGGATGGCAAACCAGACCCCATATTAGTTGAAGAATGGCTCTTAATCAATCAATTGGTGGTGCAGTTGGTAGTAGTAGTTGTTGTTGTTGTTGTTAGGTATAAGAATAGCTCACGGTGAATCCCCCAGACCCCCCTTGGAAGAAGTCAAATTTGTAGTTGTGAATCTGGCCCTTATAATAAAAATAAAAATAAAAATAATAATCATAAACAACAACAACAACAACAACTAAAAGTCCAAAAACCCCCCGTTGGCGATTGATTTCTCCCTCTGTTTGGATTTGATTTCTGCCTGCATTCCTCTTCTCTCAAGACTCACATCCTCAGCACATTCATTCATTTATCCATTTATCCATTTATTCGTTCCAATTAGCCTAGTCCAGGTTTACTCGGTACTCTGTGCTTGAAAGTCAATCGAGCGCTGAAACTCCCCCCATCCCTCCCAAACCGTGGTTCGCGCCAATCTGCAACGGGCGGTTTCCCCTTCTCTCACTTTCCCTCGGCCTGTCATCAAACATCCACATCCATCCCTACTACTTACTCACTCTCTGCCCGTGTTTTGTCCTTCCTTTACCCCAACCCAACACTCCCTCCCCCTCACATTCGTTTCTGACATATTAATCCACTCGAATCCACCATGTCTTTGAAAGACGTGTACCAGCGCTTTCTGGCTAACCCAGCCTCGGCGCCCCTGGCCTCCAATGCGTCCTTGATCTATATCACCACCACCACCAAGCTGGATGGCGCCTCCGCGGTGGTCAGCCACCTCACCAAGCAGCAGAGAATTGTCAAGACCAGGTCGGAGAATGTTCTGGATGTGATTGAGAGCGCCAACTCCCTCTGCTTGGACATTGAAACTACCCTAGAGTTTGTATCTGGAGGCGGGGCCTATCTTCCCTCGCTGGACGATAACTTCCTGGCTGACCACGTCGCGACTTTCCCCACGGTACGTCGGGCGCCTTGTGACGACCTCCCTCGTCTCTTTATATCCCTGTACTAACGCCGTGTTCTGTTTCCTTTGCGCAGGTCCATATCGTTCGCTTCAATTCGCAGAATCAGATCCAAAATGTCCGAATCTACTGGGACCAAGCGTCGCTACTGAAACAAGTCGAAGTGATCGGATCCCGCAGTCGCGGCTGGCCGATTCGCGAACCCAAGGATCAGATTCGCCTGATCAAGTCCGCTATTTCATCCAACCCAGGTGACGACGGACCTACGTCGGCATCATTCCCCGCAACAACCGAGAGCAACGAGGAACGTAGCAAGAAGGGTTCCCCCGGAAAGAGACACATCAAAGATCCTCACGCCGCTGAGTCACTCTTCGAGCTCCTCTCCCCTGAAAAGGACCGAAGCGAGCCAGTTCGCGCACCTCGTGCTCCTGCATCTGCAAAGCCCCCGCCCCGCGACCCCAAAGAAATCTTCCACGAAGACGCCGATATTCCCGACACGCCGTCCCGGAGTAGGATCGCTCCCAAAGCTGGTGCCAGCAAGAACTTCCAGCGCTCCCGGATCTTCGACGATGATGAAACCGTCGCTGCGGAAGGTGGTCACGAGCAGATTGCCTATCGGGCCAACCCGAAGCGATATGATCACTTTGAGCTCGGTGGGGACAACAGTGAGAGGGAGATCAAGGAAAAGCCCAGCCGTCCTGTGTCGCGCCAGGCGCCTCACTGGGACTTTGATGATTTTGTGACGCCCGAGAAGCCCAAGCGTCCGCTTCGTGGAGAGCAAATCCGTCACTTTGGCTGGAGCGATGATGAGCCGGACCTCACTTCGCCTCCGGCCCATCCCCCTGTGCACCGTCCCCGTCGCGACGCCGAAACCCACTTCGTCCTGACAGACGACCCCGCCGAGGACAAGAACGCCCCTCGTATCATCAGCTCCTTCCAGAACAAGGGACTAAGCCTCTATAAAAACCACCTATTCCAAGACGAAGAGGAAGCCGCTGGCGAGAACGCCCCTCTGTCTGTTGTCAACAACGGCCCCAACCGCAAGAAGGACTACGAGACCCACTGGAACATCACCGCCGAGTCGCCGCAGAGCAGCAAGGTCAGCAGTGAGAACGTGAAGCCTGTTGGTGGAGATCGCCAGAAGGCTCTCAAGAACATGCAGTCGTCCTGGGATGACCCCGAGCAGTCGCCGGAGAAGGCGGCACCCCCTCAGCGTCGCGCCATCCGTCATCTCAACCAGCGTAGCTGGGACATGGGAGAGAACTGAATGATGTATTTCCGATCATTCAATGAGCTGAACGTCTACACCCACCTGACTATCAGATTCACCGAACATTGGGCCTCCGCTCCTTACTCAAGTCCTAAAATTTATACAGCGACGACAAGTCTTCCACATCATGTTTCACTGAAGAGCGCACCCGAAAGAAAAGCCTGCATATGATACTTATTACCCGCCGTGAACGATAGCAGAGTCAACGCATGCACGGATCTATGATAAACCACATGTTCTGTTCTTGTTGTGTTTTTCGATTCATGTCCAGTTTCTAGCTGTGTATTTTGTTTACCTACAGTTCAATATGATTTTGTCTTATTGCTTACTTGATGTGTCTTTTTTCGCTTCTTGTAAGAATTTTTCCACTGCCGGTTTTTATTCTCTTTGTTGTGTCCTTGGTTGCTTTGGTTCATTATCGTTTTACATCACGCATTGTTTGTCAAATACCAGTAGTCGGCACATTCCGTATGCCCAGATAAATAAAATATCATCCTCTTGATTGATTGGCAGGTTCAGCGACTAATAGCATAGTAGTAGTTCTCCCTGATGGAATTAGTAGTACTATTTTTAAAAACTGAATCTATCTTTCATGTGTAGTTCAATCAACATAATGTGACGATGTATTTCATATTTGGCTCATTCTGGGTACATACAACCGTCACATATGATATGTACTACATGCATGCATCCTCAAAAAAAAAAAAAAAAAAAAAAATATGGGGGTGGTTCACTCAAAACATCAGATAGTGGTAACTCAAGATAAAACAAAACTAAATAGTGTAGAAGTCTTCATTATCCCCATCCGTATCTCATGAAGGAAAAAACAATGAAATGCGGGTTAGATAGATCATCAATCATCCACGTGGCAAAGAGGCATGGTTTATCTCGAATCAGCAACTATCCAAATATCATGAGTAGTAGTAGTTCTCATAAGCAACGTCCACCATCCGAACATCTTCTCACATCCTAGATGTAGAACATCGTGTCGCTAACATTCGGATGGATCTTGACGTTCAGAAACTCCCGAGCAGAAGAGCCGGGGTCAGTGCCCGTGATGACACTTCCGGTCGGGGTTTCGTCGAAGACTTTGCTGAGGTAGCAACGAGCTCTGGTGCAAACCAGGTCGGCGTAATAGGCGGGCGGGCAGATGCTGACGGCCTTAGTGGCTCTGCCGAAGAGGTAGCAGAGCCGGTGGGTGAGGCCTTCGAGGATGTCTGCGGCGTTTTCGTATGGGGGCATGGCCTTCTCTCGGCAGAAGACCTCGTCCCAGACGGTAAAGTAGTGGGCCGGGCGAGCGGTACCCTTCAGGGCAGTGTGAGCCTGCAGGTAGAACTCCCAGTTGCGGGCTTCGGTGACGCCGCGGTCGACGACGGTGCCGTTTTCCGGGTTGCCAAATTTGTCGGCGTCCTCTAGCTTGGTGGGGTAGAAGCGCGTGTGATGGCGTTTTCCTACGACCACGATTGAGATACGAGGGAGGCCTTTGGAGGTGTCGGTGGCGGGATATACTTCCTTGCATGCTTCTTTGAGGAGAGGGAGTTCGCGCTGCACCACGAGCTCGTACTGGCCTTCGGAGACTCCATCGCGGTAAACGATGATGTTCTCCGGGTAGGTCTTCCGGTTACGAACCCAGCGTCGGAGATGAGCCTTCAGCATGGTGTCGAGTTCGGCGACCATCTCTTCTCGGGGCTTTTGGATGCGGAGTTCCGCGGGCCATTGACCGAGAGTCGAATCGATAGAGGCAACCATGCCAGCAACACTAGGGGCTGCGGAGGATGATCCAGGGGAAGGATGAGTCACATCCACCCCGACGAGCATGGTCTTGTTTTGTCCAATGAGGCCTAGCTCTTTGGGATCAATCAGCTGGTTGTTGCCGCCCAGCTTGAGGTTGAACTTGAGCCCGACGTTTGCCCAATACTGATCATTATTAGGCTTTCTGAATTTGTCGGCAACGACGTTGATATTGCGGACGCCGTGGGTCAAATCGCAGGCCCTCTTAACAATGTTATAGATATCAGCGTCGTTGCTCGGAAGGACCGTCAGTATGAGCATGGGCTTGTGCTTCTCAATGAGCTCGGCAACGGCTCTGTCGATGGCCTTTGTATTATACTCCCTGATCTCCTCATCATATCCCCTCCTTGTCAAAAGTAGAGTTTGCCCAGGCCTTGGTGGGCTGGCATTCACGCCGATCTCGTTCAACTTATCCGTAAAGCCTTTGAGGTTGGCGCTCAAGTCTTCGGGCTTGATAGCCGGATATCTCGCGCCTTCGTACTCCAAGGCAAGCCAAGTCCAAGAAGGCAGCTTCGTGGGCGTTGAAAACCGGATCGATCTCATGTTCCAACTTCCTGAGAAGGGCTTGATTTGCTTTTGACTCGGCTTGCTCTCGTCCCTGTACAGAACGCTAGGCGCCGGTAGTACTC